TGGAATAAAAAATTAAACTTAATTCAAAATATTCACATAACCTAGCCGTAATAAGTATAATGAACCTAATTCAGCAAACACAGCTGAAATAAGCAAGTTGAATCTAAATCAACATACCAAGTAACCCAATGGAACACATAAACCAAAAAAGACCTAACTGGACCGGAGTAAAGAATTGGACCTAATTCAAAATGTTTATATACCCAGCTGTAATAAGTATAATAAACATAATTCAGCAAACACGGCTGAAATGAACAAGTTGAATCTAAATCAACATACCAAGTGACCCGGTGGAATATGTAAATCGACCAAAAAAGATCTGACTGAAATAACTTGACCGGAATAAAGAATTGGACCTAATTCAAAATGTTCATGTAACCCAGCTGTAAGTATAATGAACATAATTCGGCAAATACGACTGAAATGATCAAATTGACTTTAAATTATTAACATATCAAGTGACCCGATAGAATAATCACATTGAACACATTGAACTCATCCAGGTCATTTTGGTACGTCAAATTAGGATCATCAAATTGAACCTAATTCAACATACCAAAATGATATGGCTGGAAAAATCAAACAGAATCTAATTCACATCCCAAAATGAGCAAATGAGCAGGCTAAAATAATCAAGTAGAATGTAATTCAACAAACCAAATGATTCGGCTAGAATATGTATAATAACCTGGCTAGAATGAGCAAGTTGAATCTAATTCAACATATCAAGTAACCTGGCTAGAACAATAAAGTTGAATATATAAATTGAGCTGGCTAGAATAGCTGATCCAACATACTAAAAATAACCAGCTAGAATAAGTAAGTCGATATACTAGTTAGTATATCGAGATATATCAAACATAATTTAAAATAAAAAACTAACCTAGTTGGAATAAACAAATTGAATTTGATTCAACATACCAAAAATTGACCTGGCTGGAATGAATATATTGAACATAATCAATATAACAGTAACTTGGTCTGAAAAACAAGTTGAACCTTATTCAACATACCAAATAAGCCAGTGAAATAAGTATATTGAATAACCAAACTGAACCTAATTCAACATGCCAAGACGACCCTGCTAGAATAAGTAAGATGGATTGAACTTAATTCAATATGTCTAAGTGACCTGGCTGAAACAAACAAGTTGAATCTAATTCAACATACCAAAATAACCCGGATGAAATAAACAAACTCGACTGGAATAACCAAATTAAACTTAATTCCAACACATCTTGAATAATTAAATTGATCCGTATCAAGTGACCCACCTTGAATAAGTAGGCTCATTCATTAGCATTATGCACCTGTTTGAATTATTCACTGCATTACTTGCACTTTGCCTAACTACTCTAAGGAATATTTATTAAGAGCACAAAAACTGAAGTAGAATTCAATCTTACAGATCGAGCCTCCTTATTTATTTATTTTCTTATATGCATAATTACATCATCAGTCTATTAAAATAGACTTTTAAGGTGCAATACAGATCTATCACAATTGCACAGCCTTATTCCTTATCATTATTAAGTTGATTCTATTAATATCCACCCTAGTGCAATTTCGGTGTTAAGTAACATGAAACAAATTATATTCCAACAATCCCAACACTAGAATAAGCAAGTTGAATCTACCAAAACAACTCAGCTGAAGTAATCAAATTGA